GTTACACTGCATGAAAAGTCGCGTTTGATATAATTTAATAAATTCGTTTACTCCAGTAAATTTCTTGAATTGAATTTATTAACGTAGCTACGGATAGCGATCACGTGACATCGCATGCGAATTCTAAATTAAGAATTTTTCGGTTGGCTTATTCCGGAAATGCGCATAGTTCAATATGGCGGACTGCATGTTGTAAACAACGTGCTCCGAGAAAAGTACACGGGAAATGATATAGGAAGGCTCAGCTGTAAAGGTAGATCAAGTAAATTACAGCGAATGAGAGAATATAACATCTTAAGAAACAGAAAACAATAAAACCTTTTTATGAACTAAAATGTGTATCGCAAACGACCGACTAGCACCCCCTATTCCAAAGCAGACGACGCAGCTGGTTTGAATCTCATGATATGACATGGATGAAAACGAAAGAGGGACGAAGATTAACTTGAGAAATCAGTTTATATGCTCTCAGTCACAGTGATAAAGGCAATCGTTTGTATCTTTTCCAAAAACTTTGAAAGCGATGGTGACTCGGTACTTGATTGTATCAATACATAAGGCCTACATGTAAATGGACTGATAGTACTGTACTATTTATGGATTTACCGACACTTTCCACGGGAAATCCCGGCCCCGAAAGGAGTACGATGGAGAGGATTATGATCACTGTTGATATCAACTCAAAAGTATAGCTCTTAATTGGTAAGTCATATCTAATATCTATAGATATTTACATGACATACTTTCATAATAATAGGCCTATTTTAATTCAGCATTAAACATATTAAACTTCACCCTAGTATTAGTAAATTCAGAGAATGTAATATAGGGACTGTCATTCATTTGATGGGGATGGGAGGGGGTGGGGGCAAATGATATGGGTATCAGATTATTTAGTTACAGTGACGTGGACAGGACAGATATTTTTTTTTATTTCCAAGATCACTGGGGGCCTAATTTTTGTCAGATTGTAACTATGATATCTTTCTATTCAAAAAATTCCACATTTATAATCATTTACAGTATTTCGATTCACCTTTAAAGTATTTACATTTTGACTTGCAAAAATAATTTTGAGGATAAAACATGTTTGAAAATTAAATTAAATTATCAATAATCAGGTAATTTTTTTGTGTAAATTATAATTATTTTTGTTGCTCTGAGTGAGCTAGTGTTTCAGTTTGGTAAAATTTACAGTAGCCCTGCAGGGCAAGTTTAAAGGCATGTTTAGTAGTTCAAACTCAATATTCAGTTGTTGCGGACCAGCGGACTACCCTTAGTAATATATTTTGACGTTGATTGCAGATAATATTGTATTTGTTAAATTTTATAAATTACAGATAGATTCATCAGTACAGAGTACAAGGTATATGAATGTGAAGTCCAGACCATTCATGCTGATGATGATTCAACTACTGCAGCTCGACGGCAGAATGACTTTCCATCCTTTCCAAAAAAGAGCAGGACAAGAATCGCTCGTTGAAAATAAACTATCATAGTCAATAGACTACTTTTCTTTGTCAGCTTTATATTACCGGGTACATGTATCTCTTGATTGAGTGTTACATTTAAAGTGGAAACTAATCACTCCACGTATAGATTTTTTTCTTCCCATTTTTCATATTTAATCTACCCTGTTTTATGTCTGGTGTGGTAATAGATCACTTCACATGCAGCCTTTCATGTTTAATGTACAATGTTATGTATTGTATATGTCAGTTGCAGCATTACACTGCTGTAGAGTGTAGATTATTCTTTTTTTTAAAAATGTATGCATAATTTAATGTCAACTTGTGATGTCGGGTTCAGTAATACATGTAGACCAATCAACATATATTCTCTTTTATGCATAATCTACACTGTGAGTGTTTTTCAGGCTTTTTAATAAGCTGCTCCAGATATTCATGTAGAATCTTTTTTTTTTAACTTTTTATATAAAATGTCCTGCATCAAGTGTTATGTCCCAGTGCAGCATTGTCATTTTGTTTTTAATTTTTAGGTATAATTTATGTAATTTTATGTCTCAGGTCAAGGACGGTTTTAGACTAAGCCCATTTTAAGTTTTTTTTTCTCTCTTAACATCCAACCTTCAATCAAAAACCTACCTACATGTACCTATTTGTAAAAAAAAATATGAACCAAAAAGTAAAACACAGAATGTACGTGTATCATGTCTATAGTTGTAATTATAGTGTAAATCTGAGGATTTTATTTCATCAATCTGCTTTTCTGGTAGAAATATCTATTCTTCAGCAAAATCAAAATAATAAATGCCTAAAGTACACCACCTATGACATGTTTATTGTACATATTTGAGAAATTGACAGAACTCAAAGATTTCAACAAAAATAATCAAGTGTAGGGGTTCTGATTTTGTTTGATTATCTGATACATGTAGGTGTCAAAAACCAAGGTGTGATTGGATGCCAAACAGAAAAAAAGACTTGGAATGGCCTATCAAATGTTATTATCCTACCTGCTCATGGAATAAAATGACTTTTGATCAATTTGAAAGAGTACTGATCGTATTTTTTCAATGATATTCTTATTATTCTATGAAATAGAAATTTGTGAATTTTGCAGTGCTATGTCAGATGGATTTCTTCATTCTGTATGACCAAAATGTATTTTGGGACAAAGTAGAATGCATTTGACATGTTAATAATTAGGGGGATTTTTGACATTGCAATGAAAACAATATCAGATGCATAAAAGGAGGGGGTTGTATTAGACCATTCTGTAACTTAACAGTTAATTACCTCTTAATACAGCCAAGATTTCTGAGTGAGAAATAGTATTGGACATTTTTGTCATACAATATATTTTTTTAGAAATCTATAAGAAAACATAGAATTTGTTTGCATGAAAGTAATCAAAAGGAATCATGTTGAGGAATTTTTAAATGTGTTTTTTTTTTAATTACATTTTTGTTCAAGTACATGTATCTATTGTTGAAATATAAATTCATATTTAAACTTTGTTGAGGAACTTTTTATGGATAATTTCAATATTGGTTTAATTACATGTTTTATTGTAAGAGGGAGAGGGGAGGTAACTCTTCAAGTTATTACTCTACATGTACTATTATTTCATAAAAATATTTTCTTTAGTCATTTATTAGCAATTGATTTTTACTTCTGATTTATTTCTTCAGTTGTTTTTCCCTTATTTGCTATGCATTTTTTTTAATAGCCACTTTAATCGTTATTCTTACCTTTACGACGGGAAACCAAAAGAGGGGGGGGTAGTTGTGGACCATCTGGTACCTTTATTAGCCCTCAATGTGACCAAGATTTTTTGAGTGAAGAATAGTATTAGACAGATCTTTCATATGATGATAAAAAATAAAAATTCTATTGGACAGATTTTTTTTAGAATTTAAAAAGTGTCAAATTTGTGTGCATAAAAATGGCCAAAATAGTCGAATCTTAAATGTTCTACATGGATTATTCTCTTAATTTATATATGTTCAGACAATCCATTGTTAAAACAAGTTAATAGTATCAATATTGTTCAAAAATAATATTTAATATTGAATGCATATTGCACAATAAATTTTTTATTGGTAATAATTATCTTGTATTATGATTTTTGGAGTGACTGGAAAGGGGAGGTAACTCATTACCACCTGGTTCCGTAATTTACCCACAATGCCATGTTCATATTTTGACTAAGTGTTCATTACACATCCCTTTACACCTTGTGAAAATTTCAACAAAATCTATTAACAGGTTTTTTTGGGGTCAGGTGTCCTTAGCTTTTTCCTTATCCTAAAAAATACAATAGCAATGGATTCTGAGCTATGCATAATTTTTTTACGTGAAATACTTGAGCATGAATTATTAAAAATAGCTATCATATTCTATGATCACAATACGATGCATTATTTACAGGAATCCAAATGATCACAAGAAATGACAAAAGCAGTATGAAGAAAGACTTAAATTTTTCTGATAAGATCAATAAAATCACATGAATTGATTTTTTTTAGCTCACCTGAGCCATTTTAAGACCCGAGCGATTTTTCTTATCTGTGTCTGGTATTTGTCTGTCATTTTATAAACTTTTCAAATTTTTACATTTATGAGAATTAATCCTAGTTTGAACAAAAAACCCTGCAAGATACATCTTTTCTTTCAGAAATTGTGCCAGAAAAGTTTGAAGTAGCTATGGGAATGATCAACATTGAACTTGCTGAGCCTTCCTTCTGAAAGTGACTTGACCAGATATTTGGCTACCCAGTAATGAGGTACAAACTAAGGCCAAAATAAAAAATACTCTTGTTTCCTGTCACCCTCCCTACCCTAAATTTTACCCTCCAACCTAAAAGTTCTTATTACATTTTCATTTTTTGGGTGACTATTTTCCTAAAATTTTAAAGTCAACCAACAATATAAATACAAAACTAATACATCACAATTGTACAGGATACCTTTATTTATAAATCCTGATTAACAAACTAGCTCTGTAAACTGTTAACATATCATTTTCTTGTTATTACATGATATATGTTCTGCATCCAATGAGTTTTCAAAATAAAATTTTTTCTCAAAATAAATTTTTTTCACTACCTACTTACCCTAATTTTTTTAGTCAGGGGACAGAAAACAAGAGTTTATTTTCTTTTGGCCTAATCATTTGTTGTACGACTTATTGTGTATGAGACCCGCCACCATTTACTAGAACTTTGCATTTGCTGTCCACTTTAAAAACCTGCTATCTACAGTGTAAGTTGTTAAATTAAATATCTTTTACTTAATATCAAATGACTTGCTCATTATCCTAATATTTTACTCTTAAATTCCATGTGTTTCGAGTATGTACATCCATTTTATATCATGTTTTGTTGTCTCTAAATTTAATCTAATACATATCATAATATGTTATTGTATGACTGTTATCTACTTGCTCTAAAATCATAAATACATCTGTTTGTATATTTTTTCTACAGATGCCATACCTGCTTGTAATTTTTCATATTTTTTTTTATCCATAATATTTTTCTGCTACATTAAATAAAATATCGTGGAGGAACACTAAGAAAGGGGCTGTGCATCTCAACATATTCAAGGCCAAGCAGGTAAATACATTGGTAAATTGCTCCAAAAAAATGGCAAAAAGTCACCAGTCCCCAATTTACATGTACTTCCACAAAATCTGTAGCTTGCTGCTGTGAAACTATAGATACGTATGTCTTAATATATTAAATGCTGTAAATGCTATTCTTTTCATTTTCGTAATCTTTGTAAATCTTCAAATTCAATGTGTTCGGACTACGGCACCATTATGTTTGTTTCATATCATACACATGTATTTTGTCGTCTATAAATTTATACATATAATTATATGGGGTTTTTTTATGTGATTCACTAACCTAGATGACACAAAGAATTTTTTTTCATTGTGTAAAATGTTATCTTCTTGCTTTGGTCATAATATACCCTATTTGTATATTTTTCTCCTTTTTTGTATATTCTTTCTACGGAAGCCATACCTGTTATTAATTTTTCATATTTTGTTTGTGACAGCTTTTTACCATATCCATAGTATCTTGCTGCTAAATGAAAGAATTATTGTGGAGGAGCAGAGAAATGGGCACTTCAACATGTTCAAGGTCAAGCAGGTAAACATAGTAATAAAATGCTCCAAAAACAAAAAAGATTGCTAAAAAATCATTAGTCCCCAATTTACATGTATAACAACATTAGCTTTATAATCTGTAGCTCGCTGGCCTGAAATTATACATAATTATCTGTCTTTATTACCCAGACTTAAAAAATGGCATATCTTTTGTGGTCTTCTGTAATTTTTTTACTTAATCAAAATTGAGCTGTGTTTCCTCTAGGTCATTTGATAATTTTACAATCAACTCAGATTTTGTGTACTATTTAATATATGCAATTGCATAAATCCGGAAGCACACATATAATATGTATATATAGGCAAATCGGTATTTATTTTTTATGTTTGTTTTAGAAATTAGGAGCTAGATGTGCTTCTCCAGAACTGAAAACTTCTTGGCATGAAGAGAAGAAAAAGCAAGAAGAAGCAGTTTTAAATATTGATTACGTCTTCATAGTACACAAAAATTATTCTAAAGATAATACTATCTATGAAATTAGAAAGCTGAAGTTGTGTTCTGATGAATGTGAGAATGTCTTCAAAGAACAGGACACCAAAAGTGCAACTCTCAAATCAAAGCACCCTAAAAGGCAGAGCATAAGGAGAACTAGGACAAATAAAGAATCTAAAAGCGTCAACCCTATGGATGTAGTAATTGAACAGAGATGGGCTATTAGAGATGAAATATCTGAGTTGCTACTTTTTTGCACAAATGTGATGCTTGTTTTACTAGCTTATCTTTAATTGACACATTCAATGTTAGATAAGAAAAAAAAATAGACCTAGTGTTTTATTTTTGACAGTGATTTTTTTTTGATGCTTGATTACAGATTGAAACTGTTAGGTTTTATATTGTTTAACATTTATTGGTTTGTTGTATAGTATGCAATCACATACATTTTAATCTTGATTTATATATTACATATATGTACAAGTCTGATTTAAATAATAAGTACATGGACATTATTGTGGGAAAAAAAAGACAATCAAGGGTAGTCTAAAGAGCTTTGCTGGCAGTAAGTTGCAGATTTTGATACCCAAGTAGAGAAAGGGGTGTCTTGACCATCCTTTTGCTGTTGCTTGTGGGCGAGTGAGGCTTCTCTGTCCGTGGCTTAGTGAGTCATAGATGTAAAAGTAGACTAAGCAAATAAAGTAAAGACATTTCTGAGTAAAAAAGGGGTGAACTGTGATTTTAATAATAATTACAATTGATATTGAAAGAGTAATGAGAATTTCAAGAGTAAAATATTGATTTGTTTCCTTCCAGTTGAAGTAAGAGAGTTTATGACGAGAATCTTTTCCATTAAAATAGAATTGTAATTAAGGCTTAAAAAACTTGTTAAATATACTTGTACATATGTTTATACAGGACTTTTATATGTGCATGTTTCAGAGCTCATTCTTATATTTTAAGGCAAAGTTAAAAATATCACTATTGAAATGTCTTGTATTCCAATGTAAAGTTGATTTAATGAGGATATGTTAAATTACAAACATCAAGCAAAATCCTAGCAGTTGGAACAGAAATGAGCTACATGTATTTTGGAAACAATTTTAAGCTGCTATTGTTTTGTGTAATTGTGATACTTTTTCCTTAATTTGAATTGACATAACCAAATGATATAAAAAGATTTTTTGGGGTGTTGTATTTTTCATAGTCAACATTAAGTATTTTACAAGTTGAACTTGAATGATTAGTGCATGGACATCTATTGTGGAAATACTTGGGAAACAATATAAGGGTGGTCTGAAAGAGCTTTGCTGGCAGTAAGTTGCAGATCTTGATACCCAAGTAAGAGAAAGGTGGTGTCTCTGACCGATCCTTTTGCTGTTGCTTGTGGGCGAGTGAGGCTTCCCTGTCAGTGGCTTAGTGTGTCTTATTAAATGTACATGTAAAACGAGTGGGCAACTTTTATTGGCAACTTTTATTCTTTTTATGCAAAGTATGATATAATTTATTGTGGGAAATTGAAAAGCCATTTACAACCCATGCAGCAGTTTTAATAGGGGCAGTTTCAGTCACAGATTTTGCACTTTCGGACTCTAGAATGACTACATTTTTGACCTGTTGTGTTCTGATTTATTGCAGATTTGAATTTTACATACAGTTCTATTCTTATATTAAATTATTTATAATTACTTCAGTATATTACTTATTACTAGTATGTTGAAAATTACTCCATTATAATTGAGCTACAATCATAATTGTAAATTTTTAAATTCTGACTTTTAGGCATAAATTTGAAATATCTTGTACTTTGTTAGAACTCATTGTTTGTAGACTATTGAGATAACATCTAATAAAACTGAATGAGAAATGCATTTGTGTATGATTGTAAAATACTTGCCAAAAAAACCCACAATTGTAACCCATACAAATTATTGATGGATTAAATATAAAATAAAAATATTATGCAATAATATAATTATATTAAATTTCATCAAATACAACCTTAAATCTTAATGATATGGGAAGGCTTAATTCGTACATTTTCATCACTTTTACACGAGATTTATTATTAGTTTATGAAAGATTAAAATTTGAACGTATTAGCAAGTTTACAATTTTCCGTATATAACGTAATTTTTGGAAGTATTATAAAGTAAAGTGTGAGTTTAACAAAAATAATGAGGTAAAGATCTACGTTAAATTTTATTAAACGAACAAATTTAATATGACCATAAAACTTTATTTTATGGCCATGTTTAATAATAATTATACGTTTTGTATATTAGACGTATAATACTTGTTTACGGCAGACTTAAATCCGAACGTATTAGTAAGTTTACAATTTTCCAAACGTTATAAAATTTGTTCTTTTAATTTTTCATTAAACTCTTATTAAATGCTAATTATTTTCTAACATTTACGATTCCACAATATGTTATATCGCAGCATTTAAATCGCATTTAAGGTAAAATTAAACCCAACTTTTCATGCAGTGTTATTTCTACAGATATTGGCCCAACGTTGCAAGACAGCATTGTCCAAATGAATGCGACATTGGGCAAATCTTGGCCCAACGTCAACAAGAACATTGGGCCGATGTTGGCAAATGACGTTGTTCCAGTGACATTTTGCTCATTGGCCCAATGTTGGTCCGATACATTGGACAAACACTGAGCCAATGTGTATAAACATTCAATTGTTACAAATATGTATATTACCAAATCCGATAGTCCCTACAATCAGAAATTAATCTACCACCGATCCTACTTGAAAATACAAGTTAGCTAAAATAAATTTACAAGGCTTTTTAAAATTCTTATAATTTATCAAAACAAAATAAATTATCAGTGATTAATAATTTATTGTTTCTATACAAGAAAAATAATTGAAAGTATAAAATAACAAATGTGTTTTGATACAGTTAAAACAATAAATAATTGACCCTTATTTAAATTGAAATTTGTGTCTCGTAGAATAAATTTCCGAAGTCTACCACTCATTTTACTTCCATACACTTAACGTTGAGCACATGATCAAACATGTTGAAAACGTTGAACATGTTGAAGTTGAAACAAAATTCATTCAGTAGTAAAACAAAAATTGGGTTCTTTCATTTAAAATTTGTTCAATGTACCGACAAATTTTCGATACATGTTTTTTACTTTGAATAATGATTAATATGGGTCAACATTGAATCAAAATCGGTGTGATGATGATGATCAAACGTAGAAATTTTATGCATAAATGCCTTCATCACGCAAGCTAATCGCTTAATCACACCATGAAACAAAAAACAAAAATATACTTGTAAATTTAACCGTATGTTTACTCTTTACTGAGAAAAGTAACAAATGTTTTAAGTACCAAATACTTCAATTTTCGAGTGCTACTGGAGATTCTAAAAAGACTTTGAGAACACAATCAAAGAATGGCTAAGGTTGCCACAGACAGGGATGGGGGAAGAAGAAACGGACAGAGAAGAAAAGAAGAAGGAGAATGAGACTTGGGAGAGAGAGGAGGAGACTTAGGAGAAGGGATCAGATGGAAAGTGGCAGTCCCTAACTTTTTTCTGTTATATACTGTGACATACCTGTAGTTCTACCCTTTTCTGTGTTTGTTTGTCGGTAACAAACACGTTGCAGATGCCAGAAACATTTTTTTGTGTAAGTAAACAAAATGGTGGGATTCATTTTAGTATTATTGTAAGAACAGGAGGGCTTTGTTTATTTTTTAGACGTGCTTATTGATACTTACTGCAATTTACTGAACTTTGTCATAAATTTACATCCGAGAGGGAGTATACAGTCATGTATCGCTTCAAGTGAGCACCAACTTTTTGTTCTTTATTAATGTTTTCTTCATGCACTGAGCAATAAAATACTAGTATGTTATAATTTAATTTTATATTCTGATTTCTTTTTCCTTTTTCCTCAGTTTTTTAAAATTAATGTAGAGCTACTTACAATGCAATACTTGTTGATGGTACTTCTATGAGATGTTGTGAATATGTATTAAACTATTAATTTAGTAAATATGGTATTTAAGGGCTTTTACCATTAAAATGTACTACAAAACTAGTATAACCTTATTATATATAGTATGTTATTCAATTTTGTGGACAAATGGCAAACAAGTGAAGAGCAAATGAGTTGTCCTGATGGAGAGCCAATAAGATACAAACCAACGTTGGCACAAAAAGAGTGATTTCCTAATAATTAAAGAATAAGTGGCCCAACAATGGCTCAATAATATCCGTTTATTGGCCCAACTATAAGCCAACAAGTTGGTTTGATTAAGGGCCGATGAGCAAATTACCGTTGGCCCAACATTAATTGCTTACAATGGCCCAACTCTACAAAAATGACGTTTGCCCAATATTGAAAGATACATTGGCCCAACAATGGCCCAATATTAACTGTTGCATTGGCCCAACAATAAGCCAATAAGTTTGATTAAGGGCCGATGAGCAAATTACCGTTGGCCCAACAGTAATTGTTTACAATGGCCCAACTGTACAAAATGACGTTTGCCCAATATTGAAAGAATACATTGGCCCAACAATGGCCCAATATTCACTGTTGCATTGGCCCAACAATAAGACAACAAGTTGGTTTGATTAAGGGCCTATGAGCAAATTACCTATGGCCCAATGTTGAATGCATACGGTGGCCCAACATTAAGGAGCATTGTTGACCCAACGAAGGTCATATAACATCCTGCTATCTGGGATATAATTTAAAAAAAGTTTCAAGCATTGAATTCCTGACAGAGACAGATGAAAATCCTCAATTTGATTCATTTATATCAAACTAAATGTACTATTTTTTAACATTATCGTAAAATAATCCTAAAATTTATAAACAGACGATATATAAACATACTGTCAGTAATATATTTTCTTCCGAATTTCTGTATCTCTCTGAATCAGTTCAAGAGACCTGGACACAGTTTCAATTGATTTATTTAAAGTCAATTTTAATGTTTACAATTCCTACATAAAACTTCATCTATTGATTGGCAAAAAATCTGAACATTATTTGTTAATTAACAAACAAGATAAAGAACTGAAAGTTCTTCATAATCTAAACA